GCCCGGTTCCGGGCACCAAAGCCGTGGGCAATACGGAGTAGCTGAGCCCTCAGACTAGCTCCTTGTGTGTGTCCCGGTGTTCTGCTCACAGGCTCGATCACTGATCAGTGTGGGGCTGCATCTCACAGAGCAAAGTCAATGTCACTGGGGGCTGTTACAATCAGACACGAATTCCCCCATCACCACGAGGACACCCTGCACTCAGCACCTAAAGCAGGGGTCTTCAAAGTACGGCCCGCGGGCCACATGCAAATACAAATATTGTATTTGTTCCCGTTTTGTTTACTTCAAAATAAGATATGTGCAGTGTGCAGAGGAATTTGTTCATAGTTTTTTTTTTAAACTATAGCCTGGCCCTCCAATGGTCTGAGGGACAGTGAACTGGCCCCCTGTTTAAAAAGTTTGAGGACCCCTGACCTAAAGGGAACAACTGAGCCAAAAACATTTCCCTTGAGAGAACAAAACCAGCTTGTCTACAGCCATCCTCTCCACAGGTGTGAGCACACAAAGCCCTAGCTACTGAGGAACCTGCAATTTCACTAACACTGACTTCAGGTTACACAGCTGCAAACATTACTCGGTTTGGCCTGGTTATAGTCAGAACTGCAACACCAACCAAGTCCGCACGGTGACACCCCAACACAGGTGAGGCTCTTCCCACCAAAACCTTTCCAGAAAGTCAAAGTAATTCACCCTATGAAATGTACAGACATCAACACAAGGCTACAAAAAACAAACATGCAAACAAAACATTTTTTTAAAAATCAAGGAAACATAACACCCCACCAACCAAAGGAACACACTAATTTAACAATCACTCCAAAGAAATGCACATCTGTATATTGTCAGAAAAGGATTTCAAAATAAATAATTTAAGCAAGCCCAGGAAGCTAAAAATAAATAAAATAAAGGACACACAATTGCCCTGACTGAGATAGCTCAGTTAATTGGAGTGCAGTCCTAATCATGTGACGGTAACAGGTTTGATTATCAGTCAGGGCACATACCGATGTTGTGGGTTAGATCCCCAGACAGGGTGCGTACAAGAGGCAACAAATCAATGTCGCTCTCACATCAATGTTTCTCTCTCTCTCTCACCCCCCTTCTCCTTCTCTAAAATCAATTTAGAAAATAAAAATGCAAATTAAAAAAGACCAGAAAACGATATACAAACAAAATAAGATTTTTCATCAAAGAAATAGAAAATATAGAAGAGGAGAAAATGAAAATTATTGTGCTGAAAAATAAATGAAATGAAAAAGTGCTATAGAGAGCATCAATAGATCACTTGCTCAATCAAAACAATGATTCTGAAGATGAATGTTGGCCTTTTGATATTACGCAGTCAAAACAAATTTAGAAAAAGAGAATAAAGAAATCATACATGAATTATGGGTTGTCATGAAATAACGATATTCACATTATGGGAGTTCTAGAAAGAGAAGACAGAAAAAAGGGATAGAAAGCTTATTTAAATAATGGCCCTAGCTGATTTGGCTTAGTGGATAAAGGGTTGGCCTGCAGAATGAAGGGTCCTGGGTTCAATTAAAGTCCAGGGCATGTACTTGGATGGGGCATGTGCATAAGACAACCAACCAATGTGTCTCTCTCACATTGATATTTCTGTCTCTCCCCCTCCCCTTTCCACTCTCTCTAAAATTCAGTGGGAAAATATCCTCAAATGAGGATCAACAAAAACAAAAATTTTAAATAACGGAAACAAACTCAGAAAATCTGGAGATAGAAGCGGTCACCTAAGTGCATGAGGCTCATAAATCCAAAAACACATTCAATTCAAAAAAGGCTGCACACCAAGAAATATTAGAATAAAACTCAAAAAGAAATGACAAAGAGAATTCTGAAAGCTGCAAGGAAAAAGAAACTCATCTCATTAACACCAGGGTGATAAAGGCAGGAGCGGTTTTCTTACCTGAAACACTGCACTCCCAGAGAGAGTGGGACAGAACGTCCTAAGTGCTGACAGGACAAAACCGCAAGCCCAGATACTCTGCTAGCAAAGGTGCCCTTGAGAAATGAAGGTGAGACACTTTGCCAGACACACAAAAGCCGAGGGACTTCATCAACACTTCCCCTGTCCTGTGGGAAATGCCACAGCAAGTAGTTCAAGCTAAAATGGAAGTATACTAGCTAGTAACATAAATGTCAAATATACTGATAAAGTATACAGTTAAATTCAAAATACTCTCATTTGCTAATGGTTACGAAATATAAAAGATGTGAACTGGACATCAAACATACGGGGCAGGGGGACGTAAAAGCATGGGGTCTTGGTCCTACCCCCTTTGGCTCAGCGGATAAAGCGTCAGCCCGAAGACTGAAGGGTCCGGATCAGAGTCCCAGTCAAGGGCATGCACCTCAGTTGCAGGCTCTATCCCTGGTGCCAGTTGGGGAGCATGAGGTAGGCAACCTATCAATGTGTCTCTCTCAAATGAATGTTTCTCTCCCTGTCTCTCCCCCTCCCTTCCACTCTCTCTAAAAATCAATGGGAAATAATATCCTCAGGTGAGGATTAACAACAACAAAATGTAGAGTTTTACTTTGCAATTGAAGTTGGTACCTTAAAATAGAATGTTTTAATTATAAGATTTTATATAAGCCTATAGTAATCACAAAGCAAAATGCAATAGTAGATACGCAGAAGACAGAGGAATAAAAACATGCCACTTCGCTAGCTGGTTGGGTCTGTCGGTAAGAGCACTGGCCTGCGGACTAAAGTGTCCTAGGTTTGATTCAGGTCAAGGACATGTGCCTGGGTTGTAGGCCTGAGGCCCCGGTGCAGGAGGCAGCCGATTAATGACTCTCTCTCATCATTGAAGTTTCTATCTCTCTCTCCCTTTCCCTCCCTCTCAGAAATCAATAAAAAATATTTATAAAAAAATACTATCTATATCTCTATCTATATATACAAACATATATAGATTAAATATATAGAGAGAGAAAGAGGGAGAGAGATGGAATTTTAAAAATTTCCAAATTTGTTTTAGGTGACCAGCAATAACCTGACGCCAAAGCCAGATAATGGCACTATAAGAAAAAACTATTACAGCCTCACATCCCTGATGAATATAGATATAAAAGAACAACAAACCCTCAAAAAATTAATAGCAAATTCACCAACATATAAAAAGATATCATAAACTGTAACTACATGGGATTTATCCCTTGAGTGCAAGAATGGTTCATCATGAACAAAATCAATAAATGTGCTTTAGCCCAACTGGTTTGGCTCAGTGGATAGAGCATCAGCCTGCGGGCTGAAGGGTACCAGGTTTGATTCCAGGCAAGGGCATGTACCTGGGTTGCGGGCATATCCCCAGTAGGGAGTGTGCAGGAGGCAGCTGATCGATGTTTCTGTCTCATCGATGTTTCTAACTCTCTATCCCTCTCCCTTCCTCTGTGAAAAAATCAACAAAATATATTTAAAAATAAATAAATAAATGTGCTTTAGCACATTAACAGAAGGCGAAAAAAAATCTTATCACAATAGATGCAAAAAAGCATTTAACAAAATTCATAATTCTTTCATGATAAAAACCTCACAAAATATTAGCTGTAGAGGCCTGGGTTGGGTATCTCAATTGGTTAGAATGTTGGCCTAATACCCCCAAGATTGCAGGTTTGATCTCCAATCAGGACACATAAAGAAGGAATAAAAGATGCATAAATAAGTGGAACAATAAACTGAAGTTTCCCCATCTCTTTCTCACTCTCCATTCCTCTCTTCCTTTATAACAAAAAGGATAAATCACCCTGGCCCGTGTTGTTAAGTGATTAGAGCCTTGGCCCTTGGAAGAAGGGTCACAGGCTCCTTTCCTGGTCAGGTTACAAGCCTAGGCTGTGGGTCCATAGGCCACCAGTGCAGGAGGTAACCGGGTCAACGCGTCTCTCTCACATCGATGTTTCTCTCTCCTCTCCTCCTCCTTCTCTTCCACTCTCTTTAAAAATCAATGGAGAAAGTATCCCTGAATGAAATTTAAAAACATTTAAAATTACCCAGTCAGTGTCGCTCAGTGGTTGGGCGTCAAAGTAGGAATCAGGAGGTCACAGTTCGATTCCCAGCCAAGGCACATGCACAGGTAACAACAGGCTTAGTCCCCAGTAGGAGGGCATGCAAGAAGCAGCCGAACAATGATTCTCTCTCATCACTGATATTTCTTTGTTTTATTTTTCGAATTAAAGAGTCACATTTATTGCAATCCGGGACTATGAGGGGCCATTCCCAAATCTCATAGCGATAAGATGGTGGCAAAACCAGACTTAAATAGGCAAAGATCACAAGGGTATTGATTACATCTCAAGGTTTGGAATGAGGAACCTGGTTTGCAAAACAGCAGTTTAGAGAAGCAGAATTAAGCATGTTAATTGTAGTTTTGGGTCTCGGTCACTGAATTGACAGAAACACCTTATCTAGAGCCCTCGGGTCTTGCGACCACTGAGTTGACA